GTCAGGGCTAGGAGTAGATGGTGATTTTCAAATGTCATTTGAAGCAAAGCTTTGCACTGTACCAAAAGCAACCTTTTTTGTTTATTAGGTGCTGCTGACTAGCGATGCCACTCTGAAATGGATTGCGCTTGCATGATTTTTTTCCTATCCACCAAGATGCTGAAGCCAGTCCTATCAGTGTGTCACTTTCTTTATAAAGACAAAACGTTCGATTAAATTGTAATACTTGTAGGAAATCCTCTTCTGATTCATCAAATTGCTTCTTAATGTTATACTTGTGAGTCTGAGTGGAGCTGCCTGGACTGGCAGTGGCTGCCTTACCTTACTGCAAAGCAGGAATATCTCCAAGTCAAATCTCAGATCAAACAGAGTCTAGGGATCAGCTGATATAAACAAATAGGGGTTCACCATGTGATGAGGAGGAGGGAATCAGCTCTGCATTGTAGATTTTTTTTTTAACTACTCACCAAACATTTATATCAAGTTTTAAATAGATGACCAACTTGGTGTTTGTCCTTGAGAAGTACTCTAGCTGTATATCTGGAGAGCACAAAATACTGATGCAATTAGTATTCTGTAACAACAATAGCTTTTATACCAGCAGACTCTGAAGCACATTCTCACGTGCTCCTGGAGGCAGCTTTTCAGGCACGCACTCCTGCATGTGCACATTAGGAGCCCTCTATCTGACAGCAGAACTCCCAAAATGGGCAGTGGCTCCTTGATGCCTGCTGTCATGGTGTGCAGCTGAGCAGGGGAGACTTGGCTCCTTGGAGCTGTCAGATTCACAGGCTCTCACAGAACACTGTGGCCTGCAGGCAGCTGCAGTTAATGTTATCATGGGTGAGCCAAGAAACTCTCCTTGTTCACTGACACCCCCGTCTTTGACATGGGAGGGAAGTGATGTCTGTCAACACACCTGTTTTTAAAACATTTAACTATCTGAATTAAGACATGGCATGTTCTGACAAGGTAAATCATCCTTTTTGAAATGGCCTTGGCTTGCTGCCTCATTCATTCCCATGAGTGCTGTTTGTACTAGCAGGTTGTTACTTCAACACAGCAACGTCACCTAGTGCACTTAAGCTTTATACGTACTGTACCTGCAGGACACACTGCAGCCAGCCAGGAAGGCTCAACAGCCTGTGTTTGAGGTGCAGTAGAGAACTAACCTTTCCTTCCTTCTGTTTAAGGTTGTTTCTGGTCTGTGCTCTTTGGAGGACAGTGTGTGAGTGTGGAAGGGGAAATAGTATAAATGCTGTAAATGTCACGTTTGAAATAGATATGAAGGAGATACTGCCTGGGATTGGGTATATCTCCATTTTAAACATGGAGAAGCATTTAAAGAAACATATGGCAAGATGCTTCTGCAGTACCATACTTCAGACTGAGACCAGACTGGTTTTGCTGAGTTCAGTGGCAGTGGAATTAGGACAGCATAATCTCTTTGGGTTTTGAATGGCAAGTGTCAGCTTCTTGTCACAGGACCATATAATACACTTCAAAGAAGGAATTCTTCAGATCAACCTGGTGGGCCAGAGGCACTTGATACGCTCTGCATAAAGCCTAAGTGTGCCTGAAAGGCCCTGCTACTCACGTGCTCATGCTGCCAAGCAGCATTCATTCTTCAGTTCTTTCATTCGTTCAGAGGAGCAAGTACACTTACAAAATTGCACAGGAATTGGCCTCTGCTGATGAGATAAAATACCAGCTGCTACACGATATGAAATAGCATAAGAAAGTTTTCAGATTAGATTTGCTGGATCTCTGCAACTACTGAGCGCGCTACACAAATGACTGATCTAGGCTGGAAGTGGTGAGCAGGCTGCTATGAGACCTCTGTCCAAATGACAGGAATGAATCAGTGTGCTAAATATTTGCTTACAATATTGATACCTAACAAAAAAAAAGTCCAAATGCCTCTCAGTCTATTGATGTTTTTTCAGGAAACTACAACTGAATGACTGTTGGAAGTCTTTGCACCTCATCCCTGCTCTCCTTGCAAGTTCCCTATTACTCCCTATACAGTTGACACTCCAAGAAAGTTTTCTTTTTCTGTCGCTCATCTTGGCTGGAAGTCCCAGGCAGGAAGGGTAGAGTCTGAGCTTCTTCCAGGGGACTCTGAGACTGCCAAGCCCTAGGGGAGGTGATGTGCCCTGAGCTGGGGGTGGGGAGCTCCTGTGCTGTGTGTCTGCACCTCAGGACCACTGTCACCCACGGTGAAAGGCTTTCCCCTGGGTTTCCTTCCAGTCCCTTGAGCCAACCACTGCCATAAATGACCAACGGGCTGGAGTACCTCTCCTATTATGAAAGGTTGAGGGAGCTGGGCTTGTTCAGCTTGGAGAAGAGAAGGCTGCAGGGAAACCTCACTGTGGCCTTCCAGTACTTGAAGAAAGGTTACAAACAGGAAGGCAATCAACTTTTTACACAGCCTGCTAATTATGGGACAAGGGGAATTGCTTTAAATTGAAAGAGGAGACATCTAGGTTAGACGTCAGGAAGAAGTTCTTTACTCAGAGGGTGGTGAGGCACTGGCACAGATGCCCAGAGAAACTGTGGGCGCCCCATCTCTGGAGGTGTTCAGAGCCAAGTTGGATGGGATCCTGAGCAGCCTGATCTGCTGGGAGACAGCCAACCCACTGCAGCGGGTGGGTGGGCTTTAAGGTATCTTTTGGCCTAAGCCATTCTATGATAGATGAATAACTGGAGCACACCTCTGGATTAGTGTAAATAGAGATGTCTTCTACCAAAACAGCTGCACTGGACAAGCTGTGCAGTTGTACAGGCTAAGGATGCTCTCCTTCCATCACAGAAATAGCTTGCAGGGGTTGGGTGTGGGGTGTACATGCATATTATCTTCATGCTCGGCAGCTTGTGGAGCTACCCGTGTTTCTTTAACAAATAAGCAGGGCATTGCTTTGTTTGCGGGAGAATGAAATCATTTCTAAACTAAACCCTGAATCAAGAACTTCCGGTGGATGAAGCCTCGAGACGCTCGAGGCCGGCGCAGCTCCGGGAGCCGCAGCACGCGGCCGGCAGGGGGCGCCAGTGGGCCGCCGCTGCTCCGCGGCTCCGGGAACGAAAGCGGCGCGGGGTCGCCTAACAGCGGCTGGGCTCGGCCGGCCCCGCGTCACCCGGCTGGGGGCTTCCCGCTGCCCCGGCTCGTCCAGCACCGGTCGTGGAGTTCCTCCCGATGTTTGGTATGGGGAGGTGGGAAAGCCTCATCCACGAGTTGTAGCCCTTCCCGTTCAGAAGAGGCTTATTGCAGGCGTTTTTATAGCAACAGGAAGCTTACTTGCTTTTTAATTACGCTCTGAAACTACTAGAGGAAAAGAGCAATTCTTTTGAAGGCAGGAAGCTAAGCAGCTAATCGTGCGCTGGAGTGCCTGTTCCCAGGGAGCTGTACAAGTACTCCAGGGCCGCTGAGCTGCCAGCACAGCAGCTGTCTGTAAGTGGCCACAGCGTGGCTGGCAGGGGGGTTCACAGCGCCCACCATTAGGCACCTGTTTGCCCTCAGTCACTGGAAGGAGGGGGGGTGACAGATGAGGGGATTTGGGGAATCTCTAGTGATTTTTTTGCTAAGTGTAGATGAAGGCCAAATGGAAATGGTGCACCTAAAGCAGGGTAACTGCTTTATCACACCGTGCCATGATGGCCAGCTCTGGGCAACATCTGTGAACTGTCACTAGAAATAATAAGCTTCCCACTAGAAAGCCCCCAGTTTCTTCACTTTTCTCCATTTGTAGAGGCCAATCTTTCTTTGATATTAAAGGCAGAGGCATGGGATGAAGCTCCCTTACTCTGTGGAAGTTCTGTGCTATGCAGTACAGGTTGCGGTGCTACCATCCAGTGCCGCTGTAGTGTGTGCCATGCAGTGTGTGCCGTGCAGCTCTGCTGCCCAAAGGAGCGTGTTCCCAAGTGCTGGGGAAGGTGCAGGATCCCCCTCCAGACCCCTCTGCATTAGCTTGCAGAGCGCTTTCGGGCATTTTGATTGTGTCTTATTTAACCCCCTAGAGGATGATTACGAAAGTGAAGCTTGTAAAATGAGCGGCAGTGAGGCAGGGCTGAGCCCCAGGACACGTGTGTTCCTAGCTGAACCTTTCAGCAGGTTCAAAATGTTCCCTGCCCCTGAAACCCACTTGATCTGTTTCCTCTGAGCACATCCAGTCTATTTCAAGCCAAGTAAACATGAACTTTAGCTCTTCAGGGAGGAAAGGAAAGACAAAATTGTTCCTGGCACTGTGTTACAGGCATTCAGCTTCAGCTGAGCTTCAGCTAACCTTTCACAGGTGTGCAGTGAAGGTTTCTCTTAGCAGCCTTTAGCACGATCATAAAGTGTGCAGAGCTCCATTTGTGTTCTGCTGCATTGCAGAGCTGTGCTGGGAAAGCTCACGGATCCCACCGTGCTCTGTGCGACGTCCCATAAGGGACATGCATGCCTGCATTTTTAAGATGCTCCTTGTCAAGGTGACTTGCAAAAGCGTTTCTTTGCCCCCTTTCTACTTATTTCGTCCACATTCTGGTTGCACCGTTGCTCTGTGTTACTGACAGGTGCTGCCTCGGGGCTTATTTGTCTCACGCTCTGTGGATAGCACGGCGAGGGGACACGCAGCCCGATGCAGAAAAGCAGCCACGTCTTTTTCAAATGAGGTGGGAAAATCGCGCTCAACACTTCCTACTGCTCTTGGTTTGGAAAACAGCCAGGCTCTCAAGAAGAAAGGAAGCACCGAGACAATTCTGCCTTTGTACTGCGTTTGATAGATAATCTCGAAAGCGGCCGCGAATGAAAAGCAGCTGGAAACGGTGAGGACGAGGGGCTTCCTCCCGCAGGGGCGGCTGTGGCTCAGGGTTAGCCCTCCCCAGCCGGGCGCTGCTCTGCGAGGGCGCCAGGCGCAAATCGAGAAGGGCTTTTTCGCCACGTGCTCGTTCTGTGACCGTTCCAGGTTCGGTTCAGAGCGCGGTGGCACAGGGGACGTCCCGGCCCCGCAGCCCCCCCGCTGCCTCCGTCCCTCCCTTCCTGTGGGAGGCGCCCGGCGCCGCTAGAAAAGGACCGGCAGCCGCGGAGACACCGGAGTGGAGCGCCGCTGGAAGCCGGCAGGTAGGGCCTGGGATCGGCTCGGCTCCGGGGGAGCACGGAGGGGTCGCTCGGGGAGGGTAGCGACTCGATGTCATTGAGCCTCTCTTCTGGTGGCTTCATTTTGTCCTTGCGGCAAAATCCATGAGACTTTACTGACGGCAGCATTTCGAGCAGAGGCTGCTCGTTTGGACGTGCGGACTAAATTTGTGCCGGTCCCGCTGTTCTCGGCATCCTCAGTGCTTTGCCTTGTTGCAGCGTGCCTGGGAAGCACGTTAATGTAGTTTTGCATTTCTGTGTCTACAGGTAGATTTGCCTTCTCGGCTCTTCTCCTTTGTGGACCTCCCGTCTGGGTGCAGCGATGTGGTTCTTGGACAAGATCAGACCGCCGCAGGGCAGCAGGAACCTCCCGTGTGCCTCCTTCCTGGGCCTGCCACCCGGCCAACATCTGCTGGAAAAAGCCCGCCTGGGGGCTGCTGCTTTCCCCAACGTGCTCACCCCGGACAGAATCCCGGAGTTCTGCATCCCCCCCCGGCTGAGCACCGCTGCTCCTGCTCAGGGTCCCGGCTCCCGCCAGCACCACGGTTCAGAGGATGCACGTCTCAGTTCCTCTGACCACAGCTCCGGTTATTCTTTGCCGCACTTCATCCAGGTGGAAAGTGCTGAAGAGTTCCCAGCGCTGGAGGAAGAAGGCACCAACTCAGACCCGCAGTCCCAAGCCGCGCTCTCCCTGCCTCACTTCCCCAGAGCTCCCACTTCCTACGGCTTCTGCACCTTGCTGGAGAGTCCCCACACCAGGAGAAAGGAATCGATCTTCCACGGTGACACGTGCGGGGCTCTGCCCAGCCTGACGCTGCCTCGATCCAGAGCTAACACGTTCGGTGGCAAAGGGAACACGTCCAATCCCATTGCTATCAGCTTCACTTCGGTAAGGCTGCCTCCCAGGCACCTGCACAGGCAGGGTGCTTGTGACAGTGACACTGCCTCCTCCAGCGACTCCTCTCCTTTCAGCTCCCCACTTCTCAGCAGATCGCCTCCCAGATCCTGCTCCTTGATCAAGGCACGAAGTCAGGAAGGATTGCTCTGCCGAGCACTGAAGGCCAAGAACAAATCTGGCATGTCCAGGAATAATTCTCTGTCTACAGAAGAGAGCAGCTCCACTGATAACAGCCCCAGTGCCATCAGGCGGGCCTCGGAGGGGCGGCTCGCTGCACGGAGCTGCAGTGTGTCTTGTTCTCCCCTCTTTCCCCTGGACTTTGCCCAAGGCCGGCAGAGACTGGTGGGAGAGAGCACCGTAGTCATGGACAAGGGGGGCATGTTGAGACTGTCAGCTGAATACTGCTCAGAAAATGAAAGGCTGAGGATCCGTCTGATCAGTGCAGAGGGTTTATATGATGACTCTGTAGAGCCCAAAAACATAAACTGCTGCATTACCCTCTCCCTGGTGCCAGGGAAAACACAGAAACAGAGAAGCACTGTTATAAAGAGAAGCAGGAATCCCATCTTCAATGAGGACTTCTTTTTTGATGGCATTGCAGAAGAAGAACTGCTCAGCCACTCTGTGAGGATGAAAGCAACAAATAAAGGGTGCAGCATGAAACGGGACTACACCTTAGGAGAACAGGAATTGTCTTTAATGAGTATGTTGTCCTTGTAATACTACAAACAGACCCACTTTGTATTCTGAAAGTTTTCTACTAAATAAAGTTTTGGTTTCTTTTTCTTATAGAATACTTGAAAACACTGTGTCATTTGGTATTGTTTTCATGCCAGTGTGCCTTAACACTTTGAGCTCCGTAAGGCATTTGTTGCTAAATTCCATGGTGGCTGTGGAGCAGAGCTGCCTGTGAAGGTGAAGAAGAAAGGAGAAGGGCTGGTTTGCCTTAGGATCAAGTGTTAAGCAGTTACCAAGTTTATGGTTCTGAGGAGGAAAAAGGGTTGTTTTTCATCTCCTCTGATCCCTAAAGCCCGTACTCAGCATGTGCATGCAGCAGGCACTAAACTCTGGCAGCACCCAGGTAATGCATCAGTTAAATAGACCGTTTTAACAGCACCCATATTTACAGAAAGGAACATTTTAATGTGCCTTATGTTTGGGGAGTGAGAGAGATGGTTCATTTGGTAATTCCCCCTTCCAGAACGTGGGGGGAGGATTTGGATTTCCAAAGCAGGTGTTAACAGTTTTCCTTGTTTTGAGAATAACGCAATCAGCTTCTGCTGAGCAGCAGCTACGTGCTGCGGTGTGCAGGCTCAGTTCTCTCTCACACAGACCTGTGCTGTCACATTATGCAGGTGACTCCTGCTTTGCGTCACTATGGAGAGGCTGACTGCTGTTAGCGCAGTTAGCATCTTCATTCACCCTTCCCTTCCATGGTTGATTTCACAGCTGCCTGGGTGAAGCTGCCACGTAATTGTGCTTTGATCAGGAATGTACCCTGGAGCTCTAGCTCTCAGCAACTGAGCTTCTGCATCCCTTCATAAACTAAGGCAGACAGATCAATGCTGGACGGACAAAAGATGGCTTGGGATCTCTGCAGGGAATCCCTGCTTCAGCTACAAACTTGCCGTGTACCTTCTTCAAGGCATTAGGATAAAATAAGGATCACCTTTTTCTGTACTGTATCAGCAAACATCCAGTGGCTGAGGTGCTGGATTTAATGTCATAAGAACTTTAAAGCTGCATTCTTGAGGCACCTCCTCCTTCCCTTTTTTTCCCATTTTTTTTCTCTGCTGAGGTGGGCTGCGCAAGTGCGAGGAGGCAGAAATTGTCTTGAAAGTCCAGGACTGCTGCTGCCCCCCCTTGATTAAATTACAGGTAGATAGGAACGGGGCCAAAGGAAAAGGTTTTTTTCAGAGTTCATTATGAGACTGTAAAAACAGGGCTTTGCTTATGCCAAATCTACAGCTTAAAAGCTCTTTCAAATAGATTTCTAGCAGATCCTCTCCCTGCTCCATTCTGGCACGAGTACAACTGTGTGCAATCCATGGGCCTGTTCATGGGAGGCTGTGGTACTGCCTGGCCACCAAAGTATTTAATTCTCTTTCGGGCTTAACTACCCCAAGAAGGATTTTCTTCCTTGGAATAGCAGAAAAAGCCCAAGAGATGTTGATTGTGATGGTGAGTGCTCAGTGCTAGCCCTTGGTCCATCTCACGTGAAAACTTCTTAAAACACTCTCTGTACAAAGCATAACTTGCACAGGGAAAGGGCTGGGTATATTCCAGAAGATGATTAAAATCAAATGTAATAATAATCCCTTGGTGCTAAAGCAGAGAATTAAATGTCCTGATACATATTTGCACAGCAGGAGGTGATACACTGACACCTGAATCCTTGAGTCTGGGCAAACTGGCTACTGGAGAACACGCAAAGCCAGTGGGGAGAAGTGAAATTAAGAAGCAGAACTCCAAGGAAGAATCAGTACAGCTGCAAAAGAAACAAAGCCTTTTTAAACACTCACTGTATGACAGACTGGCTTACAAATGAGCCATTTCTTCCTGCTTTTCTTGTATTGAATTCCCCAGAGGAAATCAAGTGCTTCTTCCTCAGGCAGATGACATTTTTAGTCCTTGGAACTTGAAGTTCCTTCACAGGTATACCCACATGGAGAAGCAGGCTGATGTAATACAGAAGACAACATTTGTGGTGTCAGAGGTTCACTTCACTCACACCACAGTGCATGTCCCCGTGCTGTGCCACTGCTGTACCGTGGGGACAAAAAGGTGGAACAGCTGAGGTGGGAAGCTGCTCTGGAGGCTCCACTGCACGAATGCTGCTGAGAGCAGTGTCCCTTTTATTGCTCCCCATCAGCCATTCGTACACAATTACGGGATCTTTCCTGCATGTTCTCTTCACCATGCCAAAGGGCATAATGTATTTTCTAGCATCAGAAACAGGTGGCAGGTGGTTGTAAACTTTTATCTTTCATCACGCAGGGATGGAATGAAGTACTTGGAGAAAGTCCTTCATTCCTGTAATAGGGAAATAAGTTTCCAGCTGGGCTCATGTGGTCAGGTGTTTGGAGAGGAAAACCTTCACCTCTGGTCAGCTGAAAGAGAATTGAGCTCTTTCTAATGTTCTTTGAAAACGACTTATTCCTGAGCAAGTTTTCTTACAGAAGTTTGATGATAGGCTTGCCTGCTAAGGGATGACTTGGGTTTATTTTCTTGTGAGCTCAGAGCTGAACTAGACTGAAGTGGTGAATTCCTACAATGCTGCCTATGCTGCAGCTGCTTTCCAGTAGCGTCAGTTGTGTTGGGGCTGTACGTAAAACACCTGCATGAGCAAACAAGAATGCAACCGGATACGTCAACCTGAAAAAAGTCGTGATGCTTCAGTGCTAGTGTGAGTCAACAGCAAGAAGAAAATCCACCTGCTAGCACTCAAAAACAGCTTCTCAGAGTTAAGCAGGTCCTGATCAGAAGTTTTCTAACTTTTAAAATGCCATATATGAAAAGGTGATACGCTACATTGCTCTCTCAAACAAAAGTGTGATCAGAGGTGCTCAGTGGTGCTCACTGGCCAAAGAATCACCTGGTAACAGCATGCTTTAAAAACAGTGACAAATATTTGAGAAAATAAGTTCTTTCTGCTGAGATCCCATGCTCTTGTTTTGCTACGCAAACATTGTCTGTTTCTGCTGCACTGGATGTACTCATTGTGCTGGCCTTTTGAAACAGAGTTATTTTAGTCATGCCTCTTCAGATGGTTGTGGACAAACATTACTGCAAAAAGCAAGTACTTCCCTATTTTGATGCCATTTTCCTGATTATTAGATCAGAAACAAACCTGTGCAGATAGCACTATGCAGTGTAAAATGCAGTTCCTGTAACTGTGCTACTTTTCATGTAAATATCAGCAATAGCACCATGGGAAGGAAATACCTATTTTATACCTATAATATACCTATAATATACCTATTACAAAAGCCTGAGTGCACAGATGTGCAGATCAGGGATTAGGAGACACAGTTACTGCAGTATCACATTCCATCTATGGCACCACTTGTTCCAAGCTGCTCCTATTTTTTCAGACCAGCTCTGAAAAGGCAGTGCTGAAAATGGCACCCCTGTTGTCTCTGAGCCCATCCTGGGAAGGAGCTCTTGAAAGAGGATGGCCACTGTAGAGGATGCAGGGGAAAACTGAAAGTGTTGTGGGAAAATTTCTTTGGATTTGATAGAACGTAACTCAGAAAGCAGGGGGACAAAAAGCTAGACAAATGTACAAATTTGTGGAAAACCTGCATTTGGGACACCAGGGTATTTGCCTCAGGCCAGGAAAGCTGTCCTGGAGAAATCCCTAGGAGTGCCACAGGCCACGTGTTCACTGGGCCATCCTTGTGCTCTCCAGTAACTACTGCCTGCTTCAGTCTCCTGCCTGTCCTGCATCTAGATTAGAGGTCTTCAGCTTGCACAGGGGGCTGAATTGTTGGGCATGATATTTGGTCAAGGTAGGAAAGGTAATGAGTCACATCTATTGATGGCTTTTTGTAGCAGGATGTTTGGTTAAAACAAACAGTAGCCTTACGCTGATGAAACAAATGGCATAATTAAATGCTATCTATCTTCCATTACCACGTATTCCGAACACACACGCACAGAGCCACGTAAAATTCACATGCATTTTTAAATAAGATGGTATTCAATACAGACTTAATGCTGAGGAGTGCCACTAAAATGCACTCTAGAAATATTAACATTATTAATAGCGTGTTAGAAGAAAACCAATCTTTCATTCTTTTAAAATCCTTCTGGATTATCTTTCCTCATAGTGAAGGTAAAAGGAAGTTGAACGTTCCAGAGTGTCCGTGAACTAACCTTCTGTGCAGAAAACTGACTGATAGAAAATGCAGGTGGCAGGAATTGGTGGACTTCAGATGCCTGAAACTAGCTCTCAGCCTGGACTGTGCACAGCATCACACAGACAGTGGAGTGGGGAAGAAGAGCTACTTCCTCTGTGTTTGCATCACTTAAGGGAGTCATGCTTTATGCCGCCAGTTTCTTTGTATTTAAGGGATTTACAAGGAAAAGAGCTTCCAGCGGGTCTTTGCTCCTGTGAGGAACAGAAATGGCTACTGCTAAACCACTGGTGGTGTTTAACAATTGATAATTGAGCACAGTGCCAAAGATGAGAAGAGGATCCAACAAACAGCTGATGATAAGACCATGATAAGACAACAGATGATAAGAAATGACAGCCTCTTTTTGCCTTGATACCATCACAGGTCACCAGACAGCTATGTCTTTGGATTTCCATTTTTTTTTAATTCCCTCTGTTATTCCTTTTCTATTTCTAGTCATAAATGTTGCAATGTTGCAAAATTATCTGTCCTGAGTGGTACAGTGAGAACTTGACCTTGCCAAGCATCGCATGTACTAGACAGAAAAACACTGAACAAGATTTTCCAGTTCACTTCCTTCCTGTTGAAGCTTAATGACTTTTCTACTTGCATTTCTCACCCTTTTCAGAGCAAACTCAGGAGGCATGTGGAAGACCATAAGGTGAGTGACAGGGTTGATAACAAAAGAAATCGAGTGCCTTTTTGTTTTCTAAAGTAAGATAACCAGCCAAAGTTCTGGGTCTTCATTAGATTGCTTAGCTGGGGAGCCATGTACAGGGAAACAGGTCACAGCCTGTGTGTTTAAACTGCTGCTGTGACGTCCAGGAGGTCACACAAGTATAGTTCTCCAGTGCTTGCACATTCCTCATTGCTGTTGGTTTTACGTGGCTGTGTGGCTTTGTC